CAATTATTTCATCACAAGAATTTTGGGTTGGGAGTATCATTATGCGAATCTAATTGTATCATTTTTTTTTAATAAAATTGTATATTTAACTTATTACATGGCATCCTTTTATTTATGTTGGTTTTTGGAGTGTGTTATTAAAATTTGAAATTATATATATTTGGTCATTAGGTCTGACTAATATCTGTTGAAACTTTTGGGTTCAAGAAGCCATCTTACACTTTTTAGGTCACTCCCTTTTACAATTTACTTTGCATATTGAATATAAGCCTCTCATTTATTATTATTATTATTATTATTATTATTATTATTATTATTATTATTATTATTATTACTGTTATTATTACTGTTATTATTATTATTATTTTGTCATATTGATTCAAATGTGGAGGGTTAACAAAGATTAAGGTTTAGAGATACCATTTTTGTGCCCCTTATTTTCACCTCGCCATTAATTTTTGTTGATCTGCTTGTGAGCATTTTGGGCTGAATTTCATGGATAGAGGTTAATGAGTAATAACAATTATCAATTTGGGCTTTGCTTTAATAGAACTTAGCCCTCGTCACGGAAGGGCTTGTATTTTGAGCCCAAACAATAGTGGTCTTAATAGTAAGTAGTAACCACTAACGGAGAAAGTTTTGAAATACAAAATGACGATTTTTTTTATGGCCCTTTAGAAATCTAAGAACTACCAATTCTTAATTTAGTAAAACTGTTGTTAGGTAGCCATATTTTTTCAATATATATGCATACTTTAAATTAAAATTTCATACTTAACACATAATATAAATAAAACTATAAACATTATATAATTTTTGTTAAAGAGTAGGATTGGTCGTGCAAATTTATTTAAGAATTTGTGTAGTAACTAGTAAGATATGATTACATTAACATAAAAAATATATTGGCAAGTATTTAAATGTGTATTAATTTTCAGCTTGCATTAGATGTCTACCTGTTTTCTCATACTTTAAAGGAAATTAATTAAACATTTTATTTATCATCTTAGCTGCTGCTTGGCAACCTCATGCTATATAGTATATTCATTAAATTTGCAATAGGGAACATGAATAGGTATTTGATTCTCATTACCCCTTATCATTTATCATGCGATTAAATATCACAAAATTTTTGCCGAAAAGCTGATGTGGCGTCCAGTCGGATTGTGCGTCAGCTTTTCTGGCAAAAATGAGCATCGGAAGTTCGGAACCTCGATTTGGATGAAAATTGTCAAAAAAAAATGATAGTGTACCAAAAGTTAAAAAAAAATAATTAAAGGACAAAAGTGCAACTCAGGTATAATATTGTGGAATCTTAATTATGACAAAGCATAATATTTCACTTATTACTATATTTGGTTATGTTGATAATTTGCATTTGTTTTGAATAAATACACTTGAAATTAACTTTTGTTTTGTCAATACTTTTACCAACATGGCAACATGTGAATAAAATACGAGCATAGAAGACATGAAAAATATAATAATTATTGGATTTGTCCGTTGGATTTGACCTTCTGTTTTGCAGAACAATTCAGATGAATATATTAAAACAAAGTTTTAATAACAATTAATCTTTTAAAAATTACATGCTAAGAACGGCTACATACGATAAAATTAAATAAATTAAAGTAACATCTTGACCTTTAACAATAACAAAATAACGCCAATCGTTTAAAAAAAAAAAACAATAACAAATTAAATAACATAAAATTTAGTTGTTCAAACTTCTTGGATTATAATATATATTTGAAACGTTAGGAAATTTCAAACCTTTCGCTGTTTGATGTCTTGATCACAAGGAAAAAATAATCTTCAGAAAATGGGAAAAATAAAATCTCATGCTCTGATTTTCTTCTCATTCTCACCAGCCCAAATGACAAGCAAATATTTGAGTAAAATCTATGTAAATTATAACATTTATAAGTGACATGTTAATCCATATGTTGTTTCTATTGACTTTTTTAATCAAAATATAATGGTGCTATTATACCGTCTAATAGTTAGCAAATAATAATTTTTTTCCCATCAATTCACATATTTATGTATCGAAATAGCACAAAATGAAAAATAATATATATAAGTATGATTTAGAATTTATTTACTTACAAGATTATATATGTATCAAACTCTCAAGTCACATATTACAAAGAATTTTATGTATTAAAACTTAAAAGACTTTTACACTTGAGTCTCTTTTAAATTAGAAAAAAAAAAAAAGAAATAAAAAATAAGGAGTAATGTATAAATATAATTAGCTAGGTTGACTCGGCCAACTTAGCTTATCCGGGCCTCCTCTAGCCCATAAAGCGGGCCCATCGTATTTTTTTTATTATTTATAAATATATGTGCCTTTTTATTATATGTAATAATTTCTTTTTGAAAAGATATTTCATGTAAGATAGTACTGTCGCCTCAAAAGCTAAAATATGAAGTTATTGTTCACAAATTTGTTTATTAAAATATTTTAAAGNAAAAAAAAAAAAAAGGTACTCATCATTTCTCAATGAAATAATTCACTAAATTACGGTGGTTCGTGTAGATTCCTTCAAATTGTAATTTACGTACTTACGGTGTTACAGAGTTATCAAACAGAATGAATTACTCATGAATATGACTCAATTCGGCTAGTTAAGACTTGGATAATTTTAATTTTATGTATTTTTTTTATGTATCAATCCGAGACCGATTTATTAAGATTCACGCTTAACTTATTAATATTGATAAATAAGTTGATCTACTCACACTCATTTATTGGCTCATTAATATTGATCAACGAGTCAAGATAGGCTCGACTTGATAAATGATAAAGACTAAGGTTCAAGCTTGGACATCAGAAACTTGAGCTTTGCTCATTTAAGTGTCGTTTTTCTTTTTTCTTTTTTCTTTTTTCTTTTTTTTTTTTTTNTAGTTGGACTGTTTTAATCACAGTTTACTTACCTAGAAAAAAAGATACCAAATTAAATTCACATCAAACCACATTTTTTAGAGGAGCTATATTCTATAAATGTGGTTTATCATCAAGTGATGATATATATGAGAAAGATGGCCAATTGCTGGCGCAATTGGTTGACTTCATTTTTCAGTCAAGCCCTCGCATTTGAATTTATGTAATACAAGTGTGAACTAAAACTAAAATTATTCCAAATTCACCATCTTTAATGAGCAGAAAATAATTGTATCCATCATGATTCAAATTTCAGAACAAATTGCTGCTTTAACAATTGTAACAAATTGTAATTTTGGTCCTCATAATTTGGTGGGTAGAATTAGCTCCTTATTAATAACAAATTTTCCCCACACAAAGGCAAATAAAAAAACCATTGTAGCTTAAATTATAAATTACAAAATATAGTCATTATCTTTTATATGGTGTCAATAATAACCACATTTTTTGGCAATAATAACCAACAACTTTTAATCCCAAAATCAGTTGAGTGTGCGAGTTCCGACACAATTCCGTCGATTTTGCCGGATTTGCGTAATATCTCAAAATTTTAAAAGTTGTTGGATACTATTGTCAATTCGTAAAAGGTGGCTATTTTGCCATACTGACTATATTTTGCAATTTGGCCTAGTTTAAATCTTGAAAAAAACACTCTGAGTGCTCAAATTTCGCTCGAGTTCAAATATAGCCGCCCTCGAATAGATCGAGATCGACTAGAATTTTGCTCGAATTTAATTTTAAAAATTCAATAAAAAAATATGAAGTCATGGAACGATAATTTGGGATAAGGCTACAATCCCGTTACGGAACCATTCCGTTGGGATTGTAACCGTTAGATCAATTACCATTGACGGTTACTTGATGATCTAACGGTTACAATCCCAACGGAATGGTTCCGTAACGGGATTGTAGCATTTTCCCGATAATTTGAAATAAGACACCACATGAAGCATGCAAAGTTTTAGGTTTGCATTTTTATTGTTTTTACTTTTTTAAAAAAAAATCTAATTTTTTATTGAACTGTAAAAAATTATGAGGCGCGTTTGAAGCGGGACGGATGGGGAATACAAAACTTGAAAATCACGTTTCCTTAACCACACCAACTATTATGGTGCCGACGTTTACCCAAACAATGCATTATATCCGGGCACGGATAAAGGATTATAGTAACACGAACAAAATGACTCAGCAATATCCAAAATTTTATCCAATGTATTTTGGGCACTAATTTAATTTGACAACCCGTGTTGCTTTTTCTCAAATAAAGCGTGAGAAAATTAACTTTTTGTTAATTCAAATTAATTCCTTTGACATTGGGACTCCAAGGACACGAATAAATGTTTACAAGAATTTTGCATGAGCAATCCACAGTTTTAGAATTGACATGTTTTATATGTTTAATAAAAATATATATTTATATTATGAAATATTACGAAATTATTGAAAAATATGATTATTTAACTGTTATACCTAATAGAAACTATTATGAGATTTACTTGAATTTTGCTAGAATTCGACTCAAAATTTCAATTTAAAAATGCATTCTTAGAAATGTTTAGATAATTTGAAGTATATTAGATAGACTCGTAAAGCACTCGAGCGTACATACTGCAGGCTCGAGCTCGAATACGATCAAAGTCATAACGTAACGATACATGTACAAATATCATTAAAAATGTTTCATGTAATTATTTTGAATATATGCATGTACAAGCATAATCATTATGCCCACTTGTTTTCTATTCTACTAAAATGAAATAACACATTTAAAAATTAATCCCATTCTGTGTGTGTATGGGTTATGGTTATGGGTGTGCATATTCCAACTTTTAATATAGGAAATCTTATAGTTGACTCAGCTATGTCAATAAAACATTTCAAAATACTCTAGTCCAATTAATCCAAGTTGCGTTCAACTTGCATCGCCATTTTTTAAGACAATTAATCATGTAAAGAATAAACTGAGATTAATTATATGACAGATTATATATTCTTAGAGTTAAGACATTAATAAATTTCGGGACCACATAATTTAGATTAACCTAATGAATTAATTAATGTGAAATTACATATTCTATTCATTATTATGGACTTACAAAATATAATTACTCTGCTACATAATATTGACAGCTAAGTCCTAGCAGGGGAGAAGGAGAACTCATTATACACATTGAAGTCAAACAACTACACACAATTTCTCTATATATAGTCTATATATACACACCCCCTTTACACATATCTTCTTCACTTTCCTCACCTTAGCTAATTCACATTTTCCATAAAAAAAAAGACCCAATTTTTTCTCCTCCATAACATTATAATTATAATCTCTCTTGAAGAAGTAAATAAATAAAAATGGCTGGCGGCGGATTTGGCCCTGGTCCCGGCACCGGAAAAGAATATCCCGGCAACTTAACCCCTTATGTCTTAATCACCTGCGTTATTGCCGCCATGGGCGGCCTCATTTTCGGCTACGATATCGGAATTTCAGGTACGATTATCGAAAAAATTCCATACTTTTTTTTTTCTTTTATCATTGCACATAATTTATATTTTTGTTCGACAAAATAAATAAAAAATTGCGTATAGGCGGGGTGACGTCGATGGACTCGTTTCTGAAGAAATTTTTCCCGTCGGTTTATCGGAAGCAACAGGCGGACGACTCAACGAATCAGTACTGCAAATTCGACAGCGAGACGCTGACGATGTTCACGTCGTCGCTCTACCTGGCGGCGCTCGTGTCATCGTTGGTGGCCTCGACGGTGACGAGGCGGCTCGGCCGGAAGCTCTCGATGCTCTTTGGCGGTGTGTTGTTTTGTGCCGGCGCGTTGATCAACGGGTTCGCGCGTGGGGTGTGGATGCTCATTCTCGGCCGTATTCTGTTGGGTTTTGGGATTGGGTTTGCCAATCAGGTACGTCCTTTTTGCCAACCTGGAATATGTTTAAATGCTTTTTTTTTTTGTTCTTTTCTTTCCACTTGTTAGTAAAGACTAAATTATTTATATATTTTATTAATTCTGTCACTTGGCTCTGCTTTTTTCTTAAGAGTCATAATTATTTTATAGGCTCATTAACTTAATTCGAGATCTGAATCGGCGGTATTTGTAGAAACAATGTAGAACTGATTTTACCTTTTTATTTATTTGGAATTGGAATATTTGTCTAAAATTTGCTGTATTGTGAAAAAATGGCAAATTTTCAAACAATGAATCAGACATCAGAATCATATGTCCAGCTTTTCTACGCGTGATGCATTTTATTTTTTTGTCGCTTGTACCCAAACACAACGGCGTCGAAAGCGGTGAACCCGAGAAGTTGACTTGAAAGCTACCCGTTATAGATTTTTCCTTAACTAATAATAATATAATAATAATAATAACAACACAATAAAATTACTAGTCGTTACATTGATTTGCTATTTTCCTTACATAATAGTAGTAGTAATTTTTTCCTTTTTTTTTTCTTTCTTTCCCCCCCTTACAGTCTGTGCCTCTGTACCTATCCGAAATGGCCCCTTACAAGTACCGTGGGGCCCTCAACATCGGCTTCCAGCTGTCAATCACAATCGGCATCCTCGCCGCCAATGTCCTCAACTACGGCTTCGCCAAAATCCGCGGCGGCTGGGGCTGGCGCCTCAGCCTCGGCGGCGCGGTGGTCCCCGCCCTCATCATCACCGTCGGCTCCCTCGTCCTCCCAGAGACCCCCAACTCCATGATCGAGCGCGGCCAGCACGACGCCGCCCGATCGAGGCTCCGCCGAATCCGCGGCGTCTCGGAAGTCGACGAGGAGTTCGACGACCTCGTCGCCGCGAGCGAGGAGTCGAGGAAAGTCGAGCACCCGTGGCGGAACCTCCTCCAGAAGAAGTACCGGCCCCATCTCACGATGGCCGTGGCCATCCCTTTTTTCCAGCAGCTCACGGGGATCAATGTTATTATGTTTTACGCGCCCGTGCTGTTCAAGACCATTGGGTTCGGTGGTGATGCCGCGCTGATGTCGGCGGTGATCACAGGAGGGGTCAATGTGCTGGCGACCGTCGTGTCGATTTACGGTGTCGACAAGTGGGGGAGGAGGTTTTTGTTCCTCGAGGGCGGGATCCAGATGCTCGTCTGTCAGGTATATATACTTTAATATGTTGAACAAAACCAGCCGCTCGCGCGTGAGCTCGTTTGTTGTATAATTTTTAGCTAAATTGTATTTTTAGTCATGCTGGTTTAACACTATAGCAATAGCAATTTTAGTCCAAAGGTTCTAACATTTTGTCTTTTAGTCATGTGATTTAATATTTTGCTGCAATTTCAGTCTTCAAAATTGCTGAAACTGCAATAAAATATTAAATCGCAAGACGAAAAGGGGAAATGTTAAAACACTAAGACTAAAGTTCCTCAAAATATTTTATAAAAGAATTAAGAGATCTTTTATAAGGAAATATTTTTGTATAAATTTTTTTTTATATTTCATTTTGTTGTGGCTCGAGATACTGACGATTTGTTTGGAAAAATACTCAATTTTTCCCAGATAGTGGTGGCGATTTGCATAGCTGTGAAGTTTGGGGTGAACGGGGAGCCCGGGGAGCTGCCCAAGTGGTACGCCATCGTGGTAGTCCTCTTCATCTGCATCTACGTGGCTGGGTTCGCGTGGTCATGGGGTCCGCTCGGGTGGTTGGTCCCGAGTGAGATATTCCCACTCGAGATACGGTCTGCGGCTCAGAGCCTGAATGTGTCGGTCAACATGGTGTTCACGTTCGCGGTGGCCCAAGTGTTCTTGACCATGCTCTGCCACCTCAAGTTCGGACTCTTCCTATTCTTCGCATTTTGGGTGTGCGTGATGACAGTGTTCATATACATATTTTTGCCAGAGACGAAGAATATTCCGATTGAGGAAATGGTGGTCGTGTGGCGGAAGCACTGGTTTTGGTCGAGGTTCGTCGGTGGTGAGGTTGATGGCTATGCAAATGGCAATGGCAAGGGCTCACTTGAGATGAAGAAGGGGGTTGTATGATGATAAAGGGAAGCAAATTCAAAAGCATGGAATTTAAAAACCTTTTTTTTTTTTAGTTTGGTGTTGTAGGGATACTTTAGTGCAATTTGGGATGTAATTGTTTGATGTGTCATGTGTCCAAATGTGTTTTCATGTTATTTCTTTTTTATGTTTTATATTTTTTTTCTAAATATAGATTGCGGATTCTAATGTTTAAGAAAAATTATGAAATGAATTATTGTTGTTATGGATATAGTTTTTTTTTTTTTCCTAAGCCCTCAAGCGATGTTGGTCTTTTCGTGTTTATTGTGGAATAATCAGTTGCTAAGTACAATACTCATATAGTATTGTAATGCGCACACCGTTATTAGTATAATAGCTGTGTAATATGCATTAAGAAATTAAAAGTAAATAAGATTTATAAAATTAATAGTTATGTTTATATTAATATTTAGAAATGACACCGTTTAATAGCTGTGTAATATGCACACCGTTTAAAAATTATATTATTAAGTTTATGTATAAATGACACGTGTGTTACACTCAATTTGTTGAAATGATAAGTTTTTTTTTTTTAACAATATTTAGTTTAATACCTATTGTTATGCAATTTACCAACAATAATATATTTTGCAATTCAAATATTGCATATATGCATTAATTTTATTCATGTGGAGTTGTAACAATATTAGTTTTGTATCAATTTATATTCAATTTCTCATAGTTGAAAAACTTGACAAATGATCAAAATTATATGGTGAAAAGAAAAAAAATTAATTATATGTTAGAAATAAGTTGAAATATAGGAAAAACTGAGTTTGTATCTCAAAGATAAAAAACAAGCTCAGAGAGTACAGCGTGAGCACGCAATATAGCTCACAAGCATAACATTTGGGTAAGCGTTATGATGATGATCTCCTCTGAATAGTGATTCTATTAGTAATAGTTTGAGTTCAAGTGGTGTTAGAACCCGTGTAATGTGTCATGAAATAAGAAATATTTTAGCATATGTTATACTAGACTGGTCACGAATTAATCTTATATTGTCCCAAAATAAGTTATATTTATTTTAAATTAAATCAATAAATTATATATTTTAAATGATTTAAATCTCTTTTCGCTTTTCCTTTTAGCTCATTTTGTCGTTTTCCATTTTTTTTTCGTGTTTACATTATATTATTAGTTAAATAAAATTTGTTTCAATAATTTTATTCTAAAAAATAATTGCTTGTGTTAGACTTCCATTAGAATATTTATTAGTATGTTGTTGAATTTCTTGATTTTACAATTTAGTTATATAATTTTTTGATTTTTCAAATAAATGGTATTTTAGTATATAAAAAATTTAATATCAAGTCTCATTTATTTATGTGAAATATTCAGTGAAATGATATAAATCTTAAATGACATAACATCCAACAAGAATAAAGCGATTAGTATACCGTCTTCTGGCGGTCTTTTTAATAAATATATTATTTTTTAATTAAAATTCAAGTATATGAGAAAAAATATGTTTGCATACAAAATAATAATTAATTACTTAAGAGTTATGATTTTGTTGTGTGTATAAAAGAGTAGTTAATAATTCAAAAGTTTTTTTTAGGAAGTCTATGTTGACGCACGAAATTTGATGAACATAAAGTTGTAGATATTGGATTTTTGTATATTTTTGGTGTTTTCATGGTTTCTTCTCTTCAAGGAAATGTTGAGAATGAAAGGAAAAGAAGAAAGGGAAAACTGCACTGCCTCCCTTCTCCTCCTAGATAAAGAAAAGTAACAGATAAAGAAAAAATCTCGCTCCTCAGATTTATCTGTTTATGTCCATCATTGGGAGCCTATATATATATCTTTGGTGGGTCCGATATTATCACAAGTAGTGTTATTTTTGGGCTTTAAAAATAAGATAAAAATAAAACAATTGATTAATACACATCCACGTGTAATATTTTTATTGGTCGAGACAAAATTGAGTATCAACAGTCCATATAATTGATTTTTATTCTACAAATGCAACATCCATATTTTAATATTATTTAATGCGAGATTCACGTAATTCATATTAAAAAGTAAGATATGATGTAAAGTGATGGTTAGTTAAATTAATTATGTTAGGGAATGAATAGTGAATAAAAGTTGGTGTAATTTGTAATAATAATTGATTGGTATTATTTAATTCTATTGATAATATTGGGGATAGCAGCGTTGAGTTAAAATTGAGTTTGGTTTGAGTTGTTCTTTTATTGGTTAAAAATGATTGAAGTTTTTTTACAAATCTTTTATCTAAGCATCTCCTTCATGTTTAAACTCGTTTACATTTAATAATGAGTTGCCATGACTCAACTCCTTTAATAAACAAATAGAAATATAAGCCCGAGTTCAGATCATTTAAACTCGCGCGTTTCGACTCGTTTAATAAACTTTTATATATAGACCAAAACCCAAAATTCTAATCGAGTATATCGCGAATACGTTCAAATTGACTTGTTTGATAACAAAACTCGATTAGTTATTTGGCTTTAGCTCATTTAAATTTACAAGTGAGTCGAGTTCGACCTTTTAGAAGTCGAATCGAACTATATGTTACGGGTACTGCTGTTAAATTAAACGAGTCTGGCTTGGCTCGTTAGGGCTCGAGTTCGGCTCGGCTCTTCTGATAAACGAGCTGAGGTCAAGCACATTTGATAAACGAGCCGAACTCAAGTTCATTTAAAACTTGTTTGGTTAACAAGCCGAGCTCGATTCAGCACAGCTCAATAAGTCTCAAAAAGATAATTTCTATATAATTTTCTATAATTCGGCTTTTTAAAGCTCGAGATTGGCTTGTTATGGTTCAAACTCCGCTCGATATTAATGATAAATGAGCCGAGCTCGAGCTCAATTTCAAGCTCGTTTATTTGACATGCCTAGTTACCGAACACTCGGTTTGTACGTTTTGCAGTCCAGGGAAAAAAAATCCTAGCTACGCCACTGAATGCTTGTATATATTTTTGGTTGTGTTTGTTATTAAATATAATTATTTACGTGGCAATTTTTATTATATGGCTCGACTTTAATTTATATTCGTTAGTTTCATTCTCATTATTGTTTTTCAAAATTTTCTGAATCACATACCAAATATTATATATTTATAACCTTCCTCACTAAAAATAGAAGAAAATAAATTAATCTATACTTATATCAAAGGGAGTCCTATTTATCAAATTTAGTAGCTAGAAAAGTCAACAGTATTTATTGCCATTACTATTTCCGTATTATACAGTTTTATTTAATATTTATTTTTCTGTTACGATTTTTCAAAACAGATATGGTCAAATTCTCTCATCATTAATTACTTTCCATTAATTATAATTTATTTATTTATTATTTTCTTAGTAAAAACGGACCAACATTAATTGATTTCCTTAAAATATGGAAGTTGTTGCTTTATTTTTGTACAGAAAATCGGGTTTCATTATAGAAATTTGTTCAATTACACAATGAATTTTCTATGATATAATTATTTTTTATGGGAACTTTTTTTTTTAACAGAAAAATATGACATTTCAATAAGATTTTTGATTTCTTAAGGCTGATTGTTATCATGCTATGAAATTGAACATTCCAATATACCTTAACAAAATATACACATGGTGTATACATCAGTTAATAGAAATATAAAATTCTCATATTTTTATATATACGTATTGTAATTTTTCTATTTCTAAATTTAATTGATAGTTGTTGTGTTATGTGTTTTTTCATAATTGTTACTTGGTTGTTGTGATATTTAGTTTGGTTGGTGTCGCAAAAATTCTAATCTATATATATAATAAGAATAATCATTACAATGCAAATTAGAAAAACATTGATATTAGAAGAGATTGAGTTCATGGATTTTCTTAAATCAAAGTTGTTTAATTAGTATACAAATTAAATTCTAAAAAAATATATGTGTATATTTTGTACATTATTTATACACTATTTAATTTTAAATTTATTTACATATTTTAAATTAATTACTTTTATAAATAATACCAACGTGCATTAAATATATTTCATTACATAAAATAAAAAGAACAAGAACACGTGTAACTTGTATAAGTTTATAAATAATAATGACATTATATGGCAACAGAGTTTAATAATTAACTATTATATAGTGAATAAGAATAAGTAAAATTGTTATTTTCTCTTATATCAAGGAATAAATATATATAATAAAATTAAATTTATATTAGTATAAATGTGTTAGTGAGATAATATATTAATTATTTTACAAGTTAGTCCTAACATGCTCACGTTTAATGTTCTGACTAATAAAACAACGCTGATTAAAAGATGTGAAAAATAGATTACAACCTTATTTTTTTAGACTTAACGGTGATTAAAGAAGATGGAAAATAGATGATAACTTTTTTCAGACTTAGACTTAACCACGATTAAAATAGGTGGAAAATGGATAATAACCCTTCTCAGACTTAAACGGACAGAGCCTGTGAAAATAATTCATTTAATATCTCTCTCGTGTATCGCACGGGGTGTGTACTAGTTAGTATATAAAAGGGTCCAATAAATTCTATATACGTATACATGTGTATATAACTTGAAAAAAAAATGAGAAGATAGACTCCATACATCCATAGATCCATTGCACATCTCCATCTCAGTTTGGATAAAGTACGTAAATCGGTACATGAAAATGGATAAGGTTGCAAAAGAAAAAAGGTCAAGTTTCATACTTTGTTACATCATACTTTGTGACATAAATAAATTGAAAGTTGGTTAGAACTTAGAATCAAATTCACATGTGAGCCACCGCGAATCACCGCCTGTATGTATCTTTATGTATTTTTCCAGAAAATTTGAGAAAATTGGGCAACTATAAATTTATTCACGTTTTTTTTTTTTTTCTATCATATTTTACTTTTCATTTTACGTTAGCGGCTTAGCGCCTTTTCCATTATCATATATAGGAAATGAAACGAGGCGGTCATTTTTGTGTCACGTGAAATTGTGAAATTAATCACATCTCATTACAAGAATTGAAAGTAATTACTTATGCGGTTGTCAGATTAGACAAATGGATAATTTCATGATTATATTAGCTGATGGTTGTTAGTTGATTATAATTATTTATTTAACTATCGAATTATGGATGGTTGTTTCTAAATAACTGTTTTCACAGCTATCATGGAAAGTTTACATTATATATAAAATTGTGAACCCTCTTAATCCAAATGTTGTTCTACTAAACTTTTTGATAATTTAAAAAATGCTAATCAAATAAGTCTTTATGAAATAAATTAATTAATGGATTTGACAGATGAAATATTTAAATGAGGCTGGATCCTCTAATTAACAAAAATTCGCACATAACCAAAAAAACATTAATACTTCTTGCTAGCTTTTACATTAACTAATTTTAATTTTATTTTTTACGGATTATTTATTTTGGGGCAAACGGGATGCCTTATTCGGATTACAATCCACTAGGCTTGTAGTTGTTTGTCTTTTTTGTTCATTTCCTTTTTATAATGTACATATATATACATTTACATATATCAGCTGTACTTGTGTCATGATAAAAAATTGCGCAACTTTTGTTCATTTCCTTTTTATAAAGAAGCGAATACTATGTCATAACTAGAAAGTAAGTGGCTTAAATGGGGATAGATTCTTTGTATGTATAGCTAAAATCTATTGTCTTGCTCTGGTTTGAAAGTTGGAGAGTAAAGTGGATTTAGTTATGCATTTTTTCTTTTTTCTACATTAAATTAACAGGTATTTTTGGTACCACAATTAAACAAATTTTTTCTGTTGTTTACCTTTAGAAAAAGAAAAAGAAGAGGAATAAAAAGAAGGAAAATAAAGTGGGAAATTAAAGAGAGGAAAAGTTGAAAAGAAAACAAAGAATTTATTCCAATTTCAAGATTTACTCACTAGAAGAAAGCGTCTTAACGTTTCTTTAATTGACTTTTGTGCTTTTGTATTATTTAGGACGTAAATCGATAAATGGTGCTGTAAGTATTAGGTATACCATTACATAATTAATATGAAATGTTATGTTTCAAATCAAAAACAAGATAACAAATATATAAATTACATAATATAGAAAAATCGACCTAGTTAAGCACTAGGCCGCCTCACAACAATATTTATGAAATAGAGAAACTAAGGATGTTATATGAATTTAGGTTTTCTAGTTAGGCTTCACCTCTAATTTGGAGGCTTTCCATAAGCAAAAACTAAAAGGCCATGCCACACAAAATCATGACCTAGGTCTCGATTAAATTCAATTAACAACTATTAGCCTATTGAAATGTGAACTAATCCAATTTGCTAATCTTTGAGTGGTTAAGCGCCACTCTTTTTTTTTTTTTTTTT